CTGCAGCCCCCGCCGCCGCGCTCGCGTTCCGGGCGGGGGAGCTCCTAGGCGCTGCACCGGCCCCCAGCCCCGCGAAAGGCGCAAAAGCCCGGCCTGCGCGCGGCGTCCGCGGTTCCGTGTGACAGTGCGCGAGGGCTGAGGGGAGAGCTGTGCGCGAAGGACAAAGCCTGGAAGCCAGGCTTAAACCTTTCTTTTTCGTGGTCGTTTTGTAGGATCCGGAAACTATTTTCGTTGCGGAAAATGATTCTAGCCTCTTGGTAGAGAGGAATAATACTTTATACGATTTGCACAAAAATGAATGATAATTTAATGCAACCATTGGGTTGATGGAAAATAAATGAAACTCGTTCAGGTAGTGTTGATACTTGTTAAATCTGTCTTCGGGAATCATTCACATCCGTATACACATTTGTTCGCTACTTATTAAAGTGTTAAACATCGGCCAGGACTAAATTAGGAGAGAGGACACAAAGATACTTGATAAAAACGGGAATCCACAGTTCTCACACAGTGGAGGAAATACCTAAAAATAAACTAAAATATAATGCTCTAATAGAATTGAAATATACCAATTTGTAAAATGCTGCAGAAACCCAAAAGGCAGCATGATTAATCTGGCCTCAGAATATCTAAAGGCTTCAGATTCAACAGCCTTGAAGGATGAGCAACCAACTAGTAGAGACACACTTTTGTTTACTATCTGAGAACTATATTTTTACTCCACACTTTGCATAGGAGAGGAACAAACAGTCTAAAATAAATCGCCTTGGCAACTCCAAATCCTGTATACTTTTTTCTGGGTGTCAGAAAATAAAATTTTTCTTTATGAATAACCTCATTCTGAAAGTTATCTTCCACTTACATTTTAAAAACTCTTCTAAATAGTGTAATTCATACTGCAAACAACATCGATTATCCATTATTTTACTGACACATTAAAATTTTTCTGTTCATATAGTTATTTAATATTGTTCAAAAAGTAAATCAAGGCATATTAAACATTTTGAGTTTATTTGAGCAAAAATGTATTCAAATCAGGCAGTGGCAAACTGGAAGTGGTTAGGAAGGATTAACTTAAGAAAGAAGCCACCTGCAAGGTTTTTATAGAGAAGAAGCACAAGTAATACAAGAAAATTATTTGGCTATAACTGAAGCAGTGGCATTATCTGAGAAAACCTAGTTGGCTCTTTGAGACTGGTTGTTCTTTCCCTCGAGGCACTACAGGAATTGACTCTGGCTTAGATTTTGGTTTGCTTAGTAGGCTACCAATTATCAGAACAATCTCAGTCTAATGCCCTTCATGTTTAATTACTTCAACTGTATGCTGAGAAAACCTGCATTTTTTATCTCTGTTAAGCTGAGTTTCTTCCTATAGGTACTATAAGCAAATAAAAAATATTTTGGTCTGCTCAAAGTTTCTAAATAGCTAAAATGAAATCATATTCTGAAAACTGCTATAAATTACAGGGAATTTTTACTCATTGTTTAAGAGGTTTCTCAATTCTTAGAGACATTTGTTGAATAAAAACTACTTGAACGACATTTTAGAATACTAAGGCTGGTTAAAAAATAAGCTTTGATTCCCCATACATATCATTTGAGATGTTCCCTTTAAAGATGGAGGCTGATGGGAAAATTAAAAATGGTATCTATCACTTGTAGACCACCATTATTGTATGTAATTTTTTTTTTGTTTTTTAGTTGTCTTTTCTACTCATCCATCAGCTAACTCCCTTCCCCATCTTTAAGGTGAGCTTAAGGGCAGAATGTCATAGTGGAAAAAACAAAAGAAAAATTTTGGTAAAGCTAATGTGTTGATAAGAATCCTAAACACTTCTTCTTACACTACTGGTTTAAAGCACATACTGGGAGAATCTTTCCAGATAAGAGTTTGTCAACAGATTATCAGGATTTTTAAAAATGTTCATATTCTAAGGAAATAATCAGAAACATAGTCAAAGATTTCTGCTGAGATACTGAACACAGTATTACTTATAATGATTTTAAAATGGAAATAAGGTAAATATCCAATATTAAGGAAATACTTAAGTGAATCACGGTACATTTAGGCAATGTAATTCTAAATAATTACATCATTTAAAATAATGAATGTTGAGATTCTGGTTACAGAGATTTAAGTTTTTGAGATTTATTAGGTTGGAAAGTAAATAGTATACAGAACTCTCTATATATACACATATATATGCATATATATGTGTATATATATTATATTTGCTTATAGTACCTACACAGTTTGTATATGTATGTATGTGTGATATGCCATTGAGTCAGCTCTGACTCCTGATGATCCTATGAATAAGTGACATCCACAATGTCCAGTCCTCAACAGCCCTGCTCAGCTCCAGTAGAATCATGCCTATGGCTTCTTTCATGGAGTCAATCCATCTCATATTTAGTCTTCCTTTTTTCTGGCCACCTTCTATTTTTCCCAGCATTATTATCTTTTCCAAAGAACTCTGCCTTCTCATGATGTAACTGAAGTAGGAGAGCTTCAGTTTTACTTTTGTCTCTAGTTCTAGGACCCACTTGCTCATCTTTCTCGCAATCCAGGGTATCCATAGAGCTCTCCTTCAACATCTTATTTCAAAAGATACAATTTTTTTCTTAACAGCCTCTTCACTGTCTCATCCGTACATAAGAATTGGGAATGCGAGGGTGTGGACAATCTCAGCCTTGGTCTCTGATGACATCTTTGCTCTTGGTGATCTTTCCTAATTCTTCCATCGCTGCCCTTCAGAGTCTCAGTCTTCTCGTGATTTCTTGGCTGCAGTCTCCATCTGAATTGACGAGTGAACCAAGGTGAGCAAAATCTTTTAACAATTTCAGTGTCATCATTGTCTAAGTTAAAGTTCTGTATTTCTTCTGCAGTCGTGATTTTTGTCTTCTTGATGTTCACAGTCCTGCTTTGGCACTTTCTTCTTTCATTTTTCATCAGAAATCGTTTCAAATCATTGCTACTTTCTGCCAATACGATGGTGTCATCTGCATATCTTAATTTATTGATATTCCTTCAACTAATTTTCATTCCTCCTTCCTCTAAGTCTAGCCCAGTTTTTTGTATGATATGTTGTGCATACAAATTAAACAAAAAGGGAGATAAAATACACCATTCTCTGACACCTTTGCCTATAAGAAAGCATCTGTCTCTCCATATTCTGTCCTGACAGTGACTTCCTGTTGACAATACAGGCTACACATCAGGACAATCAAGTGCATGATCTATGTAGAAGCACATGGGAAAACAAACAAACTTATAAAAATGCAAATTTCTGCATTTTTATAACAAATGTGTATTATATTGAGAAAATAAAAATTTTAAATAAAGTTACATTTTGTACAATGGGAAAAAAGGGTCTAGACTAGATTCTAGCCCTAGAACTGGCATTAGCTAGCCTGAGAACGGTTGCCTGAAATCTATCATTCTCTAGGCAACTAACGCGTTCGCAGGGTGATGCTGTGAGAAACAAAAGGCAAGAGAGGAGAGAAAAGGACACTTCTGAAGTCAAGGGGGAACCGTAGGATTAAAAATGAGCCCACGGCCTCCTCCTCTCACCCCAATGCCTCTCCCTCCAAACCAAACTCTGAGTACTGTTACAACCAAAAAACCTTAACGCTTTTTGCAAAGGCTTTCGTAAGTTAACCCAGGACAGTCTGTCTGTAAAAAGCAATATCTTTTATTGGCCAAATCACCTATGTCTTTCAGGCAAAAGTCATTAATTAGGTCTACAAACTTTGGATGGCTTGTATGTGTTTCCTTTTGTGGACATTGTTACACAACAGTGCCCGGTTGAGCAACTTGCAGTGGCGAGCTCTTGGCCCTGCATTCTCTTCGTGCCCCAGTCCTGTAAACAGTGGGTGAACTTTATTTAGCTGTTTCAGCCTTCCTGGAAGAGTGCCTTAATTTAACCACAGGAAAGCAAGTAAAAAAGATAGGCGCATCGAGAGAGAGAGAGAGAGAGAGAGAGAGGGAGAGAGAGAGAGAGAGAGAGAGAGAGAGATTTTTTTCAAAAGCAAGTAAAAAAGATAGACGCATCGAGAGAGAGAGAGAGAGAGAGAGAGAGAGAGAGAGAGAGAGAGAGAGAGAGAGAGCGCGCGCGCGCGGAAGTGAGCGAGAGAGCAGAGAGACTGGAAAGGTGTAAGGGCTGAGGGGGCGTCGAATGACAGATGGTCTCAGAATTGAGTGTTGGTGGCAGACGCCTGGAATTTCTGTGAATGAAATCAGAATCTAGAAATGCTGGGCAGGGAAGAGGGCTAGAGAGGTGGGGGAAGAGCCCCAGGGTGGGGGTGGGGAAGGGGCGTGGTTAGTTTTCAGTAAATCTCGAACGGTACGGGGAAGAGAGGAAATGAGGCCAGGCGATTACGCGAGGCGTTGAAATGCTCTTGTACACGTACTGCAACTTTTCACAAAAGACAGATGCTGCCTCATAAAGAGCCGATCTTGTCAGCAAAGAGATCGCACTCCCACTTTTCAATATCCCCTCTGCAGACAGTCTCCGATTTCCAGGAGTTCCCCCAAAGGACAGGCACGGACAACTCCTAAAATTTCCAAAAATCTTAACACCCAGAGTGAAAAACTACAAGTCCCAGGATGCAGTGCTGCCCCGGCCAACCCCCAACACACCCTCCAGAGAAACTACAAGTCCCAGGATGCAATGCTGCTGGGACCCCGGAGCAGCTCGCTGAGGACGCCGTCCCCGTGGAAACTGGATTGGGGCCGGTGCTGCATGCTGGGAATCAGAAGGCCTGGCAGCGGATTGGTTGAGATTTGCAGAGATCGCTGTCCCCCCACGCTGGCCTGCGGTGCCGTAGGACTGGGGAAGGAAAGGGGCGCTGCGCAGTTCCCGTGGACGGAAGCGGGCGACAAACTCAGTGCGTCCCCGCCTCACCAGGTACTAATCTCCCGCGCGTCGCAGAAGGCGTCGGTGACTCGGCGGAAGTGATTCCCCAACTGCCCCGGAACCCACGGCGGCAGGCATCTGGGGGTGGGGGGGCGGCCCTGGACTGGGGGCTGTGGCGGTGCGCGGGGACCGGGTGCGGTGGCTGCGGTGACTGCGGTCCTGACGAGTGAGTCTCGGGCTGCAGTGGGGACGGAACTCCGGGCCCTCGTGGAGGACGAAGGGGGCTCGTAGTGGGCGCGCTCGCCGCCCTACTGCCCACCCCTTCCCATTTGGGCGGGGAAGGAGCGGAAGCCCTCAGCCTGCCCTGGCCGCCTCGGCTCCTGGTTTGGGGGAGGGGGAAGAGGGCGGCGGGACCTTTCCTGGCGCGTTCGGTGGGCTCGGGAAAGGGTGGAAGGAGGGGCGGCGGCCGGAGAGACGGGGCCTTCTCTGGGCTGAGCGCGGGGAGGGTGGAGTTAGGAGCATGGCAGCCCTGACGCTTTTCATTTTTGCCTTCCCCGTGTGCACTGAGATTCGTCCTTCTCTTGGAGGCAGTCCGCAGTCGTAGGAGAGGGCCTCGCTTTTTCCAGCTGCGGGACCCCGAGAACTTTACCTTCTGGGCAACTTACTGAGCGATCTCTGCCCAACCTGGTGGTTTGGGGCTGTCGTGCATCTACCTCCCAGTCTTGTCTGAAAGGAGGTATCTAGTGTCAACTACAGTGGCCATCGAGTTTCTCTTACGGAACTAAAACCTTTTTAGTAACGTATGGCTATGGAGTTCGTGTCACTAGTGCGAGCATTTCTACTCTGCATCGCCTTCAGTGTGGAAAGCAGCCTAAATCCTTCAGTTTCAAAACCTCATTTTCAAACTGACAGATTTGCTTTTTGATCTCCAAATAGTTTCCTTTTCTGTTTCGTGGACTAAAATGATAAATCTCATTTACGTTATAACTATAATTCGTAATGTCGAACCATCACAGTTTACACGTGGATTTATTTATCGTGGAGATGCAACGGCGAGGAAATAGCTGTGGCCCCAGGCACCGTGGATATTTATTATTTATTGCCAGTGATTTGGGGGTCCATACTTAATTTTAAGTTAATATTCTTTTATCCTTACGCATGAGATTTATCCAATTATTTACCATTCAAAAATATATATTTCAAATGGAGGATGCCAATTTCATTGCTTTATGGTAATTTTTAATATAATTAGACAATAGTTTATAGTTAGACGTTATAGTCAGCCTTATATATAAAGTTCTAAAGTAATATTAGTTTGTGTCTTATAAAATGTTTGGGGGGTTTGGATGTTTCAGTACTAGAAAATAATCTGGAAAACCTGCAGTTACACTGATAGGTGTTAATGGATTTTAGCTAACCTGTCCTTAATGTTTACTGTTCATAATAACCAAAAAAGCCCATTCCGTGATGCCTGAAATTTCAAGCCTAGGTGATTAAGAAAATAATAGCACCATTCATTCAAGAAATATTTATTGAGCATCTGTTATATGCTAGGCACTATAGTAGGCCTGCCCTCATGGAGCTGAGGAAGGAGAGAGGCTTTACAAAACATAAGCAAATATAGTTTCAGGTGATGAAAAATATGAAAGAAACCATAGCAAGATTAGAGTTAGATTAAGTTAGAGTGACTTGGGTGGGGGTATGTCATCTCAATAGGGAAGTGATCAAACTCCTACCTCTGGAGTTGATGTTTTGCCTGAAGACCTAAATGAGGGAGAGGTGAGGGAAGAAATTTAAGATAACTGTAACTGCAAATGCAAAGACCTTAAGGTAGGAAAGGACTTGACCTGTTAGCATACTAAGAAGGCCATCGTGGCTGGTGCTTAGTGAGGAGTGATGAGAGGTGAAGTCAGAGTGATTAACAAGGACTCAGTAAGGTGGAACTTGATAGTCATTTTTCTGTCTGTGATGAGAACCCATCAGAGGATTTTGTGCAGGGGAGTGACATCTGATGTATGCTTTCGATGACTAATTGCTGGGTGGCAAATAGACCACGTTGGAGGAAAGTGGGGAAACCAGCTCCTGAGGAGGCTTGTGGCCTAGTCCAGTTGAGAAATGGTAACTTGGGAGTTAGTGAGAAGTGGTCTGATTTGGAATGTAATTCGAAGATGGAGCCAAGTGGGTCTTGCCTTCACTCGTAGAAGAAAAAAAAGAAAAATGAGAAATCAAGTGTCTTGCCTGCGCATCTGGCTGAACGGTAGTGCCATTTACTGAAATGAGGAGGGCTGGGGGGTACACTGGTTTCTGAGGAATAAATCAGAAGTTCTGTATAGAATGTACTGAGTTTGATAACTTTTTTACAGCTCAGTGTGTGCAGTGGCCGAGTTGTAGATCCACAGCTGTTTCTCAGGGGACTCAGGGGAGATGTGATGCTAGGGAGATAATCTGGAAGTTGTATTTCATAGGTGATATTTGAACCTCATGGCTGACTGGGAGACATCAAGTAGAGAGTGTTAATGGAGAAAAGGGAGCACTCTGGTTAGAGGAGGAGCGAACAGCGGTGGGAGCAGAAAACAGGGCGTGGTGTCTGTAATACTAAGAGAAGAAAACGGTTCAGGAAGGAGAGATTAGTCAACTGTAAAACCCTGCCAGGAGTAAGATGAGGATAAAAATCGATCACGTGACCAAGCAAAGTAGTTGAAATTTGATAAGAGCCCTTCGAATGAACTAGTGGGCCAAAAATCTGATCTGAGCTGGTTAACCAGTGAACGGTGACACAGCACTTTGATGTGTTGATGGGAATAATGGCGGACGAAATCCTTGGGTAAGTGAGCTTCAGTGGGCAGGTTGGCCTTGGATAGAAGGGTGGTTTCTATTAACTTTTCTAACAAGAGAGTGGACATGGTATATACACACAGGTAGGATGAAGGAGGAAAGACAAGGCAGTTGAAGTGATTTGTTTCCGTTTTCCTGGCGAATTAAGTGAAGTCAGGGCAAGGTGTTGGAGGTTTGGGAAAAAAGCTGTAAATTCTCTCGGAATAGGAAAGCCAGTTTACTAGGAGGATCGCTGCAGTGCCCAGTGTCTGTTTAAAGTGCGTGGATATAAATGTAAGGTTAAGGCCAGTCAGTGGATGTGCCTCTTCTCCAGCCACATTCCGCTCTTCGGTTCAGAACTGTGCTAGGCAGAGAATTGGGTTTGGCGGGGTTGGCTTTGTGTGGGTGGGGACATCAGAGGAGAGGGCAGGGAGTTAGTGATAAAAGGACAGCAAGACGGGCGTGGCGCCAATTCCGATCAACTCTTAACAGTGGAGTGAAGCAAGGTCAGAACTTATTTTGTATTTCTTTCTATATTTCTTTTTAGCCCATCCTAATGGTTCTTTGAAATTTATTTCTTAATATATACTTATACTTAAATACACACTGTATAGTGGAAGTCGTCGCTTATACTTTTTAAACCAAAATAAAGGAATTTGGAGATCATTATCAAGGAGAGAGATTAGATAGTTTGCAGGAGTGAGACAAACTCTGGGAACACACAGCGCCTGGAGCCTTTAAGTTCTGTGCTGTGTGAGAGTGACTTTGTTTAATTAAAATGAGAAATTGAGAGTTAGAAGCATTTGTTTTAGAGGGAGGATGAATTGCGGATGGGTTCAACCATGAAATAGTAGAGCCAGAAGGGACTCGTAGATGCATTTTAGCCCAATTTCCTCATTTGGGGGGTGAAACAAGCCTGATCATGTCTTAACCTCTCTGGGTCTCGAGATAGAAATGCAAATATAATTGAATTAGTTCTAGGAAACATGAAATTCCAGAAATGTACAGGAATACATGTTTGATAAACTTGTATTATAATTAGCAGTTTATGGTAGTGGGTACAAAATCGTGAGACTGATGTTTACGTTATGATATTATAAACATGTGGCTGTGCCCTGGAAATCTTTAAAACAAAACTTTTTTAAGAATTAGAACTCATATTGACTCAATTCTGTTGTGAAAGACGAAATACCATCTCCTTCCTTAGTCACTCCTTCCCCTTAATATAACACAGAATGTTTCAATAAACTTAAATAGACATTTCCTGGAAAGAACAGTTTTCATTGTGGTTGTCTAAAAGTTCCAAGTTTGTTAGATGCCAATACCGAGGAAAAACATGAAAAGAATCACTTGCTCAAAAGCGTGGTGCTGTTGAATAACTTTTGTCGGAAAGCTCAGGATAATACTATCTATGTCTTGTCTGTGGCACATGCTTCATTAAATGGCCATGTGATTGCCTCTGTGCCTGATATGTGGGTCATAGAGAGAGAGAGACCTGTCTGCCTTGTGGAAACTTAGAGCTAGTTGGGGTGACAGGTAGATCTAAAAAGACACTTGTAAAGCAGCTGTGAAATATTTGTATCTAATAGTGAAGAAAACTATAAATTCCACAGTGGAAGAAAAGATGAGGAAGGGTACTATTTGCTAAAAGTATTAAGATTATCTACACAAGAGTTAAATATAGCATTGTTATAAGTCGAATAGGCCAGAATGAGAATTTTAACTCATGCTGGGAGACATGAATTCAGCGACACTATAAGCACATTCTAGGCAGGATATTTTGATGTCTTATTACAAATTGGAATTGTATCTTAACTTCTGTCAATTTGTATTACATAGCCAAAGCCTCTTCAGATAGGCCTGAACACGAGATAATTTTTAGTTAATGTAATTTACTGGTTTCCAAATTAATCTTTTTTTTTTTTTGTAATTTTAGATGTCAATTTTATTTTAAAATTTATTTAAATTAGTTTCAAGTAGACAGTGCATTGGTTAGACTCAAATTAATCATATTCTTACATGTAGATAAGGAGAGATCATCAGGCTGACTGACCACTATTCCCTTCATGAGCTCCTTGGTTCCATGCACTTATTAGTTCCTTTTTAAAACTCAGTTTTAAATCATAGTTTTCTAGTTATTTACACTTCTGAACATGTATTTTTATGTGTTCATTTATATGTAGAAAACATGAGATTAATAGGCAAGAAGCCACTTATTTCGCGTAGTGGCATCAAACTGTTCCTGTCATTCTAATCTGCTTTTTAAAAAATTAACAGTTTATCTTGGTATTTCCATGTCATGATAAATAGAGATTTAACATTCCTTTTTACTGCCCTGTAATATTTCATAAATATGGAATACTACATATATTTAGCTCATTCCTAATTGATGAACTTTGTGGGGTATTTTCAGTTTTTCATTTGTATACATATTATAGTAAATAATCTTGCCTTTGCTCATGGTGCTAGTGTTTTTCTAAAGTAGATACCGAGAAGGAGACTTGCTAGCCTCAATGATTCTGCTGCTGCCGCCTTCCAAAACTTGTGCCATTTATCTGATACCACCCATTTCTCCTCTCCTCCAACACTGAGTCTTAACAAGTTTTAAAGTTTAAGTTTGCATTTTGCCATTGGGATCAAGCACTTTTTTTACAGGTCCATGTGCTGTTTGTATTTTGTATTCTATTTTTTCAGAGTTCAGTGGGGCTTTTTATATTTCTTATTTTAATCTGCAGTGCATTTTGTTAGTGATGTCAGACAGCTAACATTTTTTTTTCAAGTAAATACCAGTGTAAAAAACCAAAAATATACAAAGAATAGACTTGCAGCAGTTGCTATCATCTGTTTAAATAATCCAAGCAAATTAACTGGAAAACTATTAGAACTATTAAGAGAGTTCTGCAAAGGTAATGGGTTACAAGGTCAACTCACTGAATTTAAAAGTTTTTCTTTAAAATACTAGCAATAACCTTTCAGAAAGTATAATTGGAAAACATACCCCATTCATAATAGAAACTACCCAAAAGTAGATCTAGCAAGAAATGTGTAATAACAAAATGGGGACTTGCCCAACCATTTAGCAAAACATGTTTATCACTATCGTAGTTAAAACAGGGGTATCAGTCAGGTATAAACAGACTGATGGAACTGAATATAGTCTAGAAATCCAGGTAGTGTATAGTATACGATAAAGGTAACGTTTCAAATCAGAAATAGGATGGGCTGTTCAAAGATGTTTTCAGTGTTCAATCCTAGATTCAAAACTGATTTCAATGTGGCCCTTGGCTCAAGTAGGATTTCCATTTGTTACCAAAAAATGAAAAACCATAAAAGAATAATGTTTCTATATACTACTCTGAAAGCACAGTGACGTGTCAGGCCTTTGTTCATGCCCTTGTCTTCTGCCTAGACTGACTCAAGCACTGCTCCTCAGCTGCTTGCTTTTACCTTCCTAATTCGTGTTTCCGGAACTCAGCTCAGTTATGGAATAGATCTTCAGATGTTCAAGCTGAGATTTTTGCCACCCCAGACTTAGATATCTATAGGTAATTTGTTGTTTAAGTCCAGATTTCATCTTATTTAAAATATTTTTAGTTTCTACCTAGAAACGAGGTTTGCTCTTAAGTCTTACTGTTGATTTATGTTCTTTGTTAGTGATGGGGAGTCTCCCCCCACCCCCCGCCACCATTTAACCCTTGCCGTAGAAAGGGTGGAATTGGTTTACTGTATTAGGAAGTCTGTAGAGAAAGTGTTGCTACCCAAAGGACTGCTAAAATGTGACTTAGCGTGGTTGCTTAGCTACTGCTACTTAAGTAAACATTCTAGATGTTTTGCTCTGGAAATTTTCCAGATAGACAAGTTGGCACTTGAAATTCTTGTTCTTCTAGCTTTTCTAGCAGTTTGTTCTTTTCGTTTTGCTTTGTTTTTTTGTTTTTTAGAAGAATGATTACAAAGCAGTATGAACAGAAGAAAATAATGGCTGATGAATTTTTAATTGCCTACTACTATTATCATAAAATGACATTTTTACATTTTAGAGAATGATCTAAGGAGCTCTCAGCAGTAGTGGAAAAGAAGTTTTAACGAGCCAGAATTTTTTACCATGGCAGTGCGGAATAACAGAAGAGAATATGGGCTGTAAAACAAAACTACCTAGGTTTAAATCCTCATGCTGTCGCTTAAGCTGTAGAACCCTTGAGCAAGTAGCAGCCTCTTAGCATCTGCACATCTTTATGATGGGAATAATAATTCCCTTGTGAAAGTATCATTTTAAAATAAAATGTATATAAGGCATTTAGTGCAATGTTTGCCCCTTGTAAGGCCGTCAAATGGTTGGTAATAACGCTGCACTGGCACAGCTGCCCTTATCTCACATTAGAAATGGAACTTTAAATCTCCTTCCATGCTTAGCCAGTGTTCTAGACCGAAAGATTTGATTTCTGCTCCCAGTCTGTCACTACCTGGAACAAATCATTCAGCCTCTCTTTACATCAGTGATGTTATTGGGGGTCGGGGTGGGGGTTGTTTTTTTTGTTTGTTTTTTAAGTGGAGGGATTATATAGGTTATCTCCAAGTGCCTTTCTTGCTTTAAAACGTTATGGTTCATTTTCTTGACCCTTCCCGTAAGGTTAGAATTAAAATATTGGGCTACAATTTCTTAGAGAATAAGATAGTTAGGATATGTTGTTTTCCTGACACACACAAAAAATAATATTGATACTAAGAAAATCCTCTTTTGAAGAAATGTTAAAATATAAAGTACTGAAAACATGAATCCTTTAGCATTCATTTTATTTTGTAAAATTTAAGATTTCTTTAAAAATTATAAATTTTTTACCACTCTACTGTTAAATTTCAGAACTTTGGCAACCTGCATGCAGAAGGGATGGAACAATAAAATGTATTAAAGATGTGTACATTTATATAAGAAGAGGGCAGGCCTTGTCCTTTTAATTCTCAGTACTTCATGTCCTTAGATTTATCTTGTTGTCATTCATTCAGCAAATATTTGCTTTAGTGCATATAGAAAGGTGATTAAGGCCAGGGATCTCGTTCAAGTTCAGTTCAGGTGAGGTCCTAAGGAACAGCATCTGTATTTTTAAACTCTTGTCAGAAAATTTGCCTTAAAGGAAAAAAGAAAAAGAACAAATCTTTATTTACACTTTATTGTCCTAGAACTGATCATCTTTCCTCAGATGTCCAGAAACTTGATACTATTTTATATTGGCTGGGAAACTCTTGCATAGCAAAGAGAGAGAGAGAGTCCTAAACTTGTAACACCAAGGACGTGTTAAATAATAATGAGTGAAAACATGTTATTTCAGCATTAGTCTTAATATAGCATTGTTATATTTTCAGGAAACTACTAAACTTCCTGTGGAAGCAAAGTAGAATTTCATAAGAACATAATGGGTAAGTTTCATAAGAAAATAACGGGTAAGTATTTCAACCAGTAAAATGCTGGTTTTTCTTCTCAAGGTAGACCTTTGATGTCAGTCAATGTAAGTAAGAAAACGGTCAGCGTGGACCAAAAGGAGTTGTTGAAATCAACAGCTTATGTCTACTAGATATTCTGGGAAGACAGATCAGTAACGTTATTGTGCGAAATATAATTTGTGATTCTTAATGAGCACTTGTACCTTAAGATATTAGAAACTTTCCCAACAGACATGAACGGTTTAGCTTACAAAGAGTACTAGAAGTATAAATTTAAATAATTGATAATTACTTTTGTTTTGTTCTCAGAGGTTGGCAAAAACTGCTAGGAATCTGTATGCTTGAGTAGTCTGTAGCTTAGAAGTCCTCCAGCTTTTTATAATGAGGAATTGCAAGAAAAATACACTACATGGCCTTTACTAATCGTTAATGTTTTGCCACATTTGCTTTTCCTATGTGTATATGTGTTTATATACACACCTAGACATGCACACACATACAAAAAAAATTTTTTTTCTGTGCCATTTAAGATTTAGTTGGACACATCTAAATCAGCATGTATTCAGTCCATATTCAGAATTTTCCAGTTATGGCAATAATGTTCTTTACAGCAGGCATATTATTTAAATCCAGGACCTTGTCAGAGGTTACTTACTACATTGACTTGTCTCTAGTCCTGCGGGGGAGCGGTGAGGAACAAGGTCCTTCCTGACATTTTAAAGTTTAGATTTGTCTCGGTGTTTTCTCCTGTTAGAATCAGATTAAACATTTTTGGCAGCAGTATTACACAAGTGTTTTCAATAGTTATGAATCTTAATTTTCAGGATTTCTAAATTAACTATTGAGAAATAAATGAGTAAATGGAATTTTGTGGCTGAATATTACTTCAGCTTTATCCTCTGTACTTCTCCTTTCTAGGGCTTCTTAAATTTTTAGAATAGGCCGTAGCATACTTTTTAGATTTTGATAACCATAAAAATTTAAATTCTGTCAGTACAATATTGTAAAAGTTACAGATGTGAGAAAGACCTGTGGCTGAAGCAAGCACTGAGGCCGTGGGGTGGCGGGTAGCAGCAGAGTGACACCTGTGCACTCTATCTCCTCACCTCTGCTTTGAATTTTTAAAGACTGACGTTTGTCTGGATTCATTACTTTCAGCAATGTAAAGTGAGCAATACCATATTTTTATTATTTTCATGGATCAAGAGTAAAATGCTGAGTAAAGCGCTAACTTTTAGAATTGGGGCATGTCAGAAGTTGCACTCACATGGCATATAAACATTCATTCATAAACACACTATGCCTCTTATTTTTAAAACGAGTATTTCAGGTGATAAAGTTTTACTATTTGAATATTTTGTCTTAATCTTCAAATTTGACGAGCTGCTGTGATCATAAAAAAGTTAATACTTCCTTGGAAAATACTGGTAAATTTCATCCAGAGTAACGTCCTCGAATATAGAGGTTATTCTGACATTGGAAAATGTGTAGAAAATAATAGACAAGAAATTAAAAACTTTAAAATCTTAGTGGCTCTTACCTCCAGAAGTGTTTCTGGTTTGAGTTCCTCAAATACTAACCTTGGTTAACCTGCTTATTTTTAATAAATGCGATTCAAAAATCATTTTACTACTTACTTTAGATGGAGAAGAAAAGACCTACGGTGGCTGTGAAGGCCCTGATGCTATGTATGTTAAATTGATATCTTCGGATGGTCATGAATTCATTGTAAAAAGAGAACATGCGTTAACTTCAGGAACAATAAAAGCCATGTTGAGTGGCCCAGGTAGGAACATTTCTTTACTTTCTCTTAATAGAGCTTCACTTATAATGTTTGATGAATGTATTTTTAAGTCAAATTAAATGACTCATAACATTTAAAAACAAAGAGAAGCGGTAACCGTTTGAACGTTTGCATGATTATGTTGCATCGGGAGAAAGTTGGTTTCTGCCATTCGCTGTGTTTAGCTGTTTACTCTAGTTTCAGTAAGACCACGCTGATTCTTTGGAAGGACCATTTCCCTTGGTTGGTTTCTGTGGTCAGCTTCTTCAGCACAGGACTCTGGTGATTTGTGTTCCTAGTTATGCATAAAGTTTGTAGAAGCTACCACCTCCCAAATGTCTTTTCTTAACATTTTCCTTTTTCTTTAGAGGTAATTTTTTTTTACCTCAAGAAAAATTTTTTCTTGAGTATTGGAATTTCTGGAGCATATGGTAATTCTATGTTTAACTTTTGGAGGAAACGCCAGACCGCACATCTTACATCCCTCCAGCAGTGCGAGGGTTCCTCGCGTGGCTTTCTTCACACCCTCACTGACGCGATGCAGTTTTTTTATTCTAGCCATGCTCATGTCAAGTAGGTATCCCATTGCGTTTTGGATTAGCATTTCCCTAATGGCTAATGATGTTGACTATCTCTTCAGGTGCTTGCTGGCAATTTATATATCCTCTATGGAGAAATGTCTATTTTAGTTCGTTGCCCATTTCTTAATTGGGTTGTGTGTCTTTTTGTTGTTCAGTTGTAAGAGTTCTTTATAAGTTCTGGACACTATATTCTAACCAGATATATGATTCGCAAATATTTCCTCCCGTCCTTTAGGTTGTCTTTTTCTTAATAGTGTCTTTTGATGGACAAGAGTTTTTTATTTTGGTGAAGCTCACTTTATCTCTTTTTCCCTTTTGCTGGTGTTTGTATTTTTTGGAGTCCTGTCTAAAAATCCATTGCTAAATCCAATATCATAAAGATTTACCTTTATGTTTTCTCATAAGAGTTTGATTGGCTTTAGTTCTCACATTTAGGTCTTCGATTTTAAGTTAGTTTTTGTATACGGTGTGAGGTGATGATTTGGCTGTTCTTTTGCACGTGGACATACCGGCACCATTTGTCGAAGAGGCCTTTCTTTACCCCACTGATTGCTCATGGCACCCTTCTTGAACATCAGTTGACTGTAGATGTGCAGGCTTATTTGTGGACTCTCAGTGTTCCTCCTGCGCTCTGTTCTTTATGCCACTACCACACAGTTTTGATTACTGTAGCTTTTTCATAAGTTTTAAAATTGGGAGGTGTGAGGCCTCCAACTTTTTTTTCTTTTTTAAGATTGTTTTGGCTATTTTAGATCCCTTACAATTCCTTTTCTATATTTTTTATTATGGAGGTTTTAAAACATACACAGAAGTAGAGAGAATGGTATAATACAGTGTCATGTGCATGTCCTTCAGCGTCAGTAGTTATCAACATCTTGCCGGTCTTGTTTCATCTGTTCTCGTTTTTTAAAGAGTATTTCAAGCGAATCCCTGACATTGTGTCATTTCACTTAGAAAATCTGTGCTAGTCCCCCTGCACCTTCCCTTTTTTCCAGACCATCAGTTTTACAAAGAAACAAGGTTATTTATCTAATGTCCATATCCTGATTAGACTTAATGTTTCATCCTGTAAACTCATAATTAGAACTCTAGAGGCTTGATTAGAATCTGGTTCATTTTACTAGGCAAGAATACTTTATAGTACTGTCGTATACTATTGTAACACATGTTTTAGCTATGTCCAGATTGATTAGGGGGCCCAGGGTTATCAAGTTGATTCGTCATGAACAGTTCCATAGTCAGACTTTCATATAATTATTTTAGCACTCACTGTGATTATTGTTGAGATGTACTTCATTTGGAATTACAAAACAGTGATTTTCTAATTCTATATGTTTTTTCTGCATTTATTTATTAGAATTCTCTTAAATTCTATTTGGTTGCCCTGAAATATAGTCTGTACAGGAAAAAGAAGATAAATGCTTGATTTTTCTCTTTACATATAATTTTTCAGAGTAATGAATTGGTTCTCCAGCATTCTCCAATAATAAAGAGTGTTTTATTTTGTTTTGTTTCGTTCCGTTTGGTTTTGCATGTCATTTTCAGCTCATCACTATATATTTTTGGTGGATTTCAATCCGATGTAGTCATTCTCACTGGTTGCTCAAATTGCTCCATTTGCTCCATTTTTATGCCAAAAATATGCTCCATTTTATGGCTCCTGTGTCTTTTTGACATGGCTTCACCATCGCTGTTGTACAGCTATACTACTTCCTGTAATAACAAGCTTTCTCAGGCTCATTTTGTACATTTTTTGTCAATCCAGAAAACAACCATTTTCCCAAAGAACGCTGTTTTCTTTTAGTGGGAAGTGGTACTTAGGGACCCAGTCTGGGTACGAGCAGGACTCATTGTTCCTGAGTCGAGTTGCTTTTAGTCTTTTCTCCCAAACAGAGCTTCAATGTACTTTAGGGGGAAAATCATGGACGCTGAGAAAGTTTTAATTAAAATCAAAATTAAAGGATTTTTGCTCTTTGTAAACTTGATCTCCTTTAAAATTTAAAAATAAGAGCTTTGTCCTGAAGATCAAACTTCAGCCCCAAATTAATGTTTGCATAAAAAGGAATGAAGTACTGATCCATGCTACAAAGTATATTTGAAAGTGGATGCACCTTCAAAACATAATGCTAAGTGGAAGAAGTCAGACACAAAAGGTCGCATGTCACGTGATTCCATTTGTATGAAATACCCAGAATAGATAGAAAGTCCCAAGGCTGGGGGGTGAGGAAATGGGAGTGATTGCTTAAAGGGCACAGGGCTCAATTTGGGGTGATAAAAATGTTTCGGAACTAGATAGAGGGGTGGTTGCACAACATTGTGGATCTATACTGAATTGTACACTTTAAAATGGTTAATTTTTTGTGATATGAATTTCACCTCAAAAAAAAAATCTTAATGTGTGTCTAGTCTCAAAGGCTTAAGTGCTTGTTGATAATATTTCATGCATATATTCAAGAAAGAGAATTTTAATTATTGGTAAACCAAAAGTTATCTTATGCCTTTGAATTATTTGCTGAATCCCGATCTCCTTTCTCCCCACTCACCTCACCCTGAACCAACACACAATTATTAAAAAGCTCTAAAAATAACTACATCTCAGAAAGTATATTTTTCTGCCTTTTGTATTCAGGTCACGTTGCTAGTGCTTGACTGCTAGGAAAATAATTTTATCCCTATAATAAAAGCTAAACGATAAAACCTGTACCTAGCAGAAGAAACTTCGAGAAATCACTAGAAACTGTTTATGAAATGTTATTAAAGGGAAGTGGCTTATAAGGAGACCTCATTAACATGATCATATTTTTAAAAACTAAACGGGAGGTCAGTAGATTTACCTTCCTGAAAAGATTTTAAAGTACTATTTCACTAATTTATTTTTGGATGCCAATTCAGTATAGCACAGGGCTGCCAATGGTCCAAAAAGACTTGATTCCCTAGACTGAATCTTCTGAAAGATTTGGCTTTTTTATGTCCTACTCATCCTTCAGTAATCCTACCAACAAGAGTCTTAGGACAAGGTACTTAAGTGTCCAGACTTTTAGGAGAGAATTAGAATTTTAAAATTCAATATTGATGAATCTCAAATGCTATCTTAATAAAGATTTTTTTTTATGTTTATACTCAGAAATCAAAATTAGATATTTCATTTGATGCTAGTTAGTTTATTCTTTTCACATTGTATTAGCTTGCTAGGGCTGCCATAAGAAAGTCCTGTAGACTGTTGATTTAAACAGCGCATTAATTCTCATGTAGTTCTGGAGGGTAGAAATTCCAGATCAAGTTGTTGGTTGATTTCCCTTTACTAGATGGCCATCTTCTCCCTGTGTCTTCACATTGTCCGATCTCTCTGTCTGTGACCCATTCTCTTCTTATAAGGACACCGTCGTATTAGATCAGAGCCCACCCTAATGACCTCTTTAAGGACTGTCTCCATGCTCATCTTGGCAAGACGTATACAAAAATTGGAATGATACAGAGATCTGCATGGCACCTGCTCAAGGATGCCATGCAAATATGGGAAGCGCTTGTTTAAAATGCTTCCTGACCAGAAAATAAAAGACCCTTCTCCAAATGCAGTTCACATTCCAAAGCACTGCGGGGTTAGGACACAGCTCAGCCCATAACAAACGTACTTCTTTTCTTTTCCAGGTCAGTTTGCTGAGAACGAAACTAATGAAGTCAATTTTAGAGAGATCCCTTCACATGTGCTATCAAAAGTATGCATGTATTTTACTTACAAGGTTCGCTACACTAACAGCTCCACGGAGATTCCTGAATTCCCCATTGCACCTGAAATTGCACTGGAACTGCTGATGGCTGCGAACTTCCTAGATTGTTAAATAAAGTAAATTATAATAAACTGTTAACTTTTTTCAGTATTTAATACCTGTAGTTCAGTTAGTAATTTTTTCATATAGAGCATGTTGCCTGTGCGCAGTTGAACTCTCAAGTTCATTGCAAAGCAGATTATCTTATGTTCTTTTGCATAGCAGTCACTTGAAATTTGTTTGCTACATCAACAAATTAAGGACATTTTCACAAATTGAGAAATAAACTAATATGCCAGTTCGTAGGTAGTTTGGCCTTATCCTTTGGATATGATTTTTAAAATTAGAGCGATGATACAGTAAATGCTGAAATTTAGGCATAATGAACACGTTCTACAGGTAAATAATGGGGCTACGTATTTTTATGTTTTTAGTGTTTTTTTTAAAAAAACTATTCTGATCTTATAGCCGTCGTTAGCATTACTGGAATTATGCAAATAATTGCATTATAAACATGTTTATAACTTAGCCAAATATTGATTTTTATAACTGTCGAAGAAGACATAAGAGTTGAAATTTCTTATGCGTCTTTTGATAAACTGCAGTATTGTTTAAGTGTATCTTGTCTTTTTGTTTATTGCTACAATTTAAGAACTTTATTTAAAAGCAATTTTGGAAGATTACTAGGTACAGCTTTTGGAGCACTGACTTTTTGAACTGTAGCCACATGGTCAACAAGTAAACTACATGACCTTGGTTTCATGTGCACTGTGCATTTTAGCCAATCCAAAGTACTGTACTTACACTGACTATAAAGCTTCCTTTGCAATATTCATTCTTCTTATATAGTCTCTTGTTATGATTATATTTCTGGATATTTAAATATGTTTTAGAAGACTCACCATGAACTTTATCCAGATCTTAAAAGCTAGACTTTTCTGAACTCTTCCAATCTTCCTGCATCCAACTGAAATGATACAAAATATGAAAAATATATGGAGAGATGCAGTGCAGATCTTATAATGCACTTTGATATAGTATATACATTATCTTCTAGTCATTAAAATATGTCCCAAAAAAGCTGATACCCATAATCTGTGGGTCTTCTATTGAAGTCTAACTTATAAAGAGGTCATTCAGCTTTTATACTGAGCAGACAAAAAGTTTGGAAAACTATGACAGCATCTCTGCTGAGGTGTGGGAAAAGCAGCACCATGGTTTGGTTTACTATCGTCTCTATCTTGGGGGTAAAACAAAGTTGTCATACAGGGTCTATGAATTAGGTCTTCAGCTTAGTTCTTCAAGACTGGTTTAATAGGGACCAGTTTTTCTGGAAACTGCAAAAACCATAAATAACCAAGTTCAACAAATCATTTTCCTCTTAGAAGACCTAACATTGTACTTTCTAGCTGATCGAAAGCAGTTAAATATGTTAATTGCATATATTTTAGTAACTTAAGACATACTGGTACATATTTTAGTATAGAAGATTATCAAGTACAAGAATTTTATTCTACTTGGTGACAATGCCAATTTATAAACCTAAATAATGATCTTAAAGGTTAAGGTGATAACTAGAATAAAGTTTAACTTTGACGGATTTTATAGGTTACTTTATATGTTAGATCCACAAGTAACCTTAAGTTAAAATATTGAAAAAGAACTGAAAGATTAGGAAAACTTGTATATCTTGTGGCAAATGATACTTGCATGTTAATAAAGGCTCTATTGACTGAAAGGTTTGATGAACACTTGGTGTTTGATCTTTTTAGCCTTAATTTTCTCTTTTTCCGAAGATTCGTGAAACTTTGCTTCAGGACATCTTGCCATACAATTGAATAGCAGGGATTTTTATTTGGTTAAATTTAAGAGAGAATCTTATATAGCATTGAAACCTTGACACTGATACTTGGTAATTAGTTTACTTTTTAAATTATGTGCAAATTTCTATTTTTTTCTGCATAGAAAATATTACCACCAAATCCTTTGTTTTATTCAGCTAATATTTCATTTTTGTACCGTCTGGATTCTTTTATGCCTTTTAGATTGCTTATCTTTCATGCAGTTGTTATTGATGGATAACAGTTTCCTTTTGAAGAATCTTGTTGATATTGAGAAATACAATTTACTATAAGCAGCCAATTCAGCACGTTAAAAGAAAAATACATTTAGAGACATCTTGCTATTCATAGACCTGTCATCTTAGTCATTTTGCTAAGTTTATCAATTATTCTTTCAAATTAGTGTAAATATTCTGAGAAATAATCTGAAATTGCTGTTCAACATTGAAGACTGTTTGAATTAACCCTAGGAATTCCTGTCTATATAGAGGAAATATCATGCAAATTAACAAAGCTTGGATGTATCCAGACTTAGCAATGCTAAGTTGAGCTTCTGATTAGTTATATTGAAGTTTCATAAAACATGATCTGGAAATCAATAGATGTCATTGATTTTTTTATATATGGTTTTATTTACAATATATACATCTGGTTTAATTTCAAGCCAGTCATATTTGTGCTAAGATTTTATATTCCTATTGGCTAAACTCTTATTTGTACCTTTTGGTTTGTTGATTTAAACGAATATTTATTAGCCCAGAAGTATTTTGGTATATTAGAGCACCGGCTGGAAGTAGGAAGTGTGAAATCTTGTGCTAATCAGCCACATGATCTTGAACAAATCACTGGGCCTTAATTTCACATCTAGAAAATTAGGAAATTGCGCATCTATAGAGTGATGTTTACCTTTTTTTTTATGAGCAAACAAGATTGTATTTATGGATGTTGCTTAAATCCAAGATAGTAACATTACAGATGATTAGATTAGAAGAATTATAAGAAAATGGCTTTCTTGCTGCATCTCTAAAATAATCTATAAATTTCACTTTTTGCTACTTTTGACTAGGCATTAAATATGACACATCAGTACTAAATAGATTAACTAGATTACTTTCTGATCCTTGTAGTTTTCTATTGCCTGCCATATAAAGAAAATTCAATTGCAGCTCTGGTTATCAGTAATTGTAATATAAAGGGAAATTTATGTGCTGTTTTTATAACAGCAGAAGCAATGCCAGATCAACTAGAAATTCATGCTTTAATTTAGTAATTTATCTACTTAATGTATCTCTAGCTGAAAACAAGACTTTTTTTAATGCCTTAGGAATATTCAGTTTCCTTTCTCACATTCCCTAGTCGATTACCCCCGCTCCAAGTTTTTTTTAAATTGGGAAATTTTAAAGTTGCTTTGAGATAGAACTTAGTCTTAATCATCAAATTGTTCTATAAGTTTTGTGTTTATTCCTTATAGGACACAGGTGTGTCAGAATTAGATTTTTTTTCCCCTCTATAGTACTAAATGCTTACAGTCATTTTTAATAGGAAATGTTTTGTTACATTTACCTAGATATGTATTTATATGCTAAGACCTTTATTTGTGATAGGATCTATTGCTTCATATTTAGAGAAGCATGTAGAAGATGACAGCTAAGAATAAAAAATAATTCAAACTTCATGAATGTTTATGCAACCAGAATTGTCTAAAATCTTTTAATCAGAGCCTTCTTTTACATCGTGAAATAAAGGGATTAATTCTGCCTATGTATACCAGCTGGCCCAGATCTAATGTTAGAATTTTTTTAATACATTAGTAGGATCTTAACTCTAGGTATATTAAATTTGATGCAGACTTATATTTTTTGCTTTAGAATCAGTGTAGTATCATTTCTGCTCTAGAAAACGTCATCTCTGCATCTATCTCAAGTATAATTTTGAATTGGAAAGTAATTTTCAGACCATCAAAGACAATTTTTGTCTTTCTATGATTTCAGCTATTTTGCAAATGCATACATATTTCGTTAGTTTCTTAACAGCTGCCGCTTGAATCAGCCAATATATTTTATTTTTTTGTTTTAATGAGGATCCAAGACAAAACATGATAGTCCAAAGTCACAAAGCTAACTGCAGTGAGATTACAGATCCAGATTGTGGTTCAAATTAGAACAAACATGTCTATGGCCATACCACTCTGAACAACCCTATCCCATCTGATCTTGGGAGCTAAGCAGGGTTGGGCCTGGTTAGTTGGATGGGAGACCACCTAGGAAGACCGGGTGCTGTAGGTGTAAAAAACAAAAAATAAGGGATTGTAAGCTGACAAGGTCCTTGCAATCTGTGAGGTCAACCAAAGGTTGCCTCGCCTAAAAAAAAAAAATTAGAACAAACATGGCAAGCACTGATGATCAACCATTAGTTTCTAGAGATAACCTATGAAGTCATGTTAGAATATTGAAATAAACAATATACAGAATATTAAAATGGATTGTGATAGGGAGTTAATGCTTGACGTGTACCTATAAAGTAATAAATAGCTTGAAAAATATATAACTGTCCTATGTAGTGAACATCATCCTTCACTTAGTAGGGCTGTTGTTTCTCACAATGTTTCTGGAACTGGGTTTAGAGCTTACAATAAACGTTCTTTTGACTAGTCTCAGTAGGGGGAGATGCTTTTCTTTAAATGTCTTGCAATAAATGTTTTGATCCAAACCTGGTAGGCAAAGATGAGTAGCCAGGCTGTGTCAAGGAGAAGGTACGTAACTAAGGAAATTAGAGTAGCTCTCTCAAGTAGCCAATAACTTGGCTCGGGTAGCATGGTGTGCCACAAAACCAAATCTGAGAAAGTGGCTGCATTGAAGTTGGGCCTTTGATAACTCATAGCCGTTCCACCAGTAGATGTGGAATAGTCTCAGCAGATCGGGGAGGTTTTCACTGGAGAGAACCTTGAGTATTTAAAGGTGGGGTGTGTTAGCTCAGCTTCCTGGAGGCCTTCTGGCTCCATTTTAAATTACTCTCTTGACAATACCAACTTTGTTTTTCTGTATTTTCTTTCACATTTCCCCCTTCTTATCAATCTTTCCTTGGGAAGCATTGCCGATCAACCATTAGGACGTATCATTGGTCTGTCACTGAAAAGTAACAGTGATCCTTCACCCCCAGGGAGGCTCATTTCTGGTGTGTCGTGTCCACATAGGAGGGAAAACCTGAATGCATAGTAGGCGACCTTATGGCCACATCTGAGCAGCAGGGAGGCTTGTTGGAAGCAGAACTAAATCTCTTATTCCGCACACCGAAAGTTCTTTGGTAGAGGGTCTCAGTTCGTTGTAATTTCTCTGGGCATTGGACTACCGTGATTCTGGTAGTGGCTGTTCGTGGTTGCTTGTTCAATGCACCTGGTGAGACACCTGATTAAGTAGCAAACAGTATAATCATAAAAACCAATATACTTAAGGCCTGTAATATAGAATGAAGCCAATTCCGTATTCCTGCGAGGCAACCAGCTAAACAAGTCTGTCCACTCCCAATTTAGGGGATGATGTTCTCTCTATTCCAGGATTTTAATGTTTCAGAAACTCAAGCCGTTATATCGCTTTACGTGGTTTGCTGATGTAGAAACGACATTCCTCTGAGCAGCGCACAAGTACCGCCTTGCCAGGCGCTGACACACTGGAGCCCTGCGGCTTTGTAGCGCTACCTCAGTTACTCCTAGTTCTTCAAGCGCAGGTGTAGCATTCTGTGGTTGCTACCAGAACAGAAGGATTGCCGATCGGCTTTTCCAGTTTAACTATTTCATCCCCAAGGAAAGAAAGCGCAAGCGAAGTCAAGCAAAAGCCTCACTCGTCTTATTATCCCTTTTCCCGATTAGAAAAAAGTGCAGCTCGCTTTCAGCATTAACATCACACGTAGGCATGCTGTGTTTTCTAGGATTTGACATTTTCGGCAATCGACAATTACTGTATCTTGGAAATGGAAATACCACTCCTAAAAACAGAATGCCATGAATGGAATGATGTCATTTGTTTCCAAAGACTGTAGGTATACTAGAGCAATGCGAAAATAATAAAAACGGGATATTTCGTGGCAAATTTGGGGAGTAAGGTTAGGACTATTCTGTGAGTTATCTCGGGGTAAACGCTGCAGCCCCAAGCACTGCAGGTGAGTATTCTCAGGGCAAATGGGAAATGGGTTATGAGATTTTTTTGGTGGAGAGAGGACTGAGAAAAGACCATATCTGAAATCCCAGTTTCCTTGCTTTGGCTAAAATTATAGACAAAAGCTCCTAGGTTAGGGACAATGGCGGAGGAAGGGCGAGCCTGGGCATGGCATCCGGTAACAACAGTGGCGTATCTGCCTCGTTGTTGGGTTGGCAAGGCGATGCATTTGGGTCCCACATAAGAAACACCCAGCACCCTCAAGTGAGAGCATGTTATTAGGTCCTTCGACCCAGACTGAGGGAAGTCTAAAGTCCTGTTTCTGAGGCAGGGACTTCATGTCCTTCATATGTTGGATGATCATAATAGTCAACACCAGGCATTCAAGTCATCGTGTGATTCATCATGATTAAAGAGCACCTGAGGGTTCTATATGTTTGGGTCCGGATTGAGAGATTAGTATGGGTTAGGTTGTTCCAAGTTTGGGGGCTGGGATTCCTTAAAAGAGCTTTTATTTGGGTTTTCACCAAATACCAGATTTTTGGTCTAGTCCCTAAGTCGTAGTGGAGAGCAGGAGGATATCTATCTGCTTTCCAGGACTGAGTGGTATTCCCTAAATTTCCCCACATGAAGGAAACATTGTAAGAAGTAACGTTATAGCCCTTTAAGGCCCATCGAGGTGTGAACTCATGGTCTGAATCATACAAGAGTGTAGTTGCACATTTTTATAATCAGTAAACGAAACA